TTATGGACTGGGTTTGCGAGCGGCAATATGATCTGGACCACTTTCCTGATTCTGTGAATTTCCATCTTCTTTTCTGCGCAAAATGAGACAGGGTGCAGCGCTTTCTCCCAAATATATTAGCATTATGCAGCTCCCAAAATACAATAAATGGGGCTACCACTTCACGCTAATCAATTTATCAAATTGTATCCACTAGTTGTTCTGGCATGAATCGCCACTGAGAGCTCAGCAAAACCACGAGCTCTAGATGCCTCAAATGGATTAGATGAAAATACGATGTTATAATTATCACCAAGACAATAATGTAAGTCATACAGCCCGGGATAACCCAAATCTCGTTCACCTCACTGAAACTTTTGTACTACAATATAAAAAAACTGATGGAAAGCCTACGTGGGTTTATTACGGTCCGAATTGCTCTTGTGAATGAAATTGCTGATACTTTGCTTTGCACGCTTTGTCAGGATAATAGGCCTCAGTACGAAACAAAAATTTTGCGAAGAGCTGCCTAGAGCTTTTGCGTCTGGACGAATTGCCGCCGAGCTTTACCCATACACTTCCCATGGATTTGCAACCTAGTAAAACTAGAATTGGAGTTCTCGTACGAACACTCAAGTATTTTCTGAAAGCGCAGCACCTAGAAGCCTCCGAAATTTGGAAGCTCTTGCTTGCATGCCACTCTGCACACCTTCCCTCATTATCTCGAGAGCGGTCCCTGAAGCGAACTTAGCTGGTGTCAAATTGCATCCCTAATTTATCGCTGCTTTAAGTTATAAGTAATTATAAATGGTTCGTTTGTTCCAAGAAATTATTACTTCTTTTCTATGACATAACGTCTTGGTCAACATTGTTACTCCACCTGCACACTCAACTTTCCAGAATTTTTACCTTACGTCCATTCTAAGTCCGAATTCAAAATCAAAGCTTTCAACTAAAATTACAGTAGTGGGTAATTCGATGAAAGAAAAAGAGTCTCTTAGGGTTCTTCTTGTTCAGTGTTGAGTGTCATTCGGACACGAAAACGGAGTGGTCCTGTTTTTGTTTCTCCATCGTTTACAAACGAGGGAAGCAGCTGGGCATTCTTTGGTACGAGGTCAGGGCTATAAGGTGGATACGGAAGAACTCTCCGTCCGAGAGTCCCAAAATTTTCTGAATTTTCTTAGCAAGAGGTGGTTCAACGGTGTCATACAAAAGCAAACTTTGCCTTGTTTTCTTTCGTATTAAAAGCGTTGCAATTCGAGCTGTGGATAGTTGACTTCCGCGTTGACTGCGACATCTACACGTAGGGGTTTCCAGAGCTAACTCCTCTCGTGTTCCACCAAAAATCCGAGAAGGCCCTACTTGGACGAGGTTGAACTTAGCAGTAAGAACTCCCGAAGCGTTTGAGCTGGACTACCGCCGCTTGTTCATTTGTTAGCACACTGTACCCACTCCTCATCTTCGGCAAATGTGATGGATGGTCAATCGAAGAATCCATAGTAAGTCGACTTGAACATGATGATGTCAGATCGTGTTTGGAGCTGAATCGGGCTCAAGGCACGTGGGGACCAAACTCTATATTTTCGGATCTTCACAAGTCTTTGGAGATGCCACAGTGCTGTCTCCTTGTCGCATCGGAATCGCTCTAGCAAATGATCGATACTCTATCCAGATCCCTTTTCAACAGCGTCAGATAGAGCATCGTGATTGTCAGTCACAGGGTGGTTGGAGTGTGGATCATTTCAAATAAAAAAGTCAACGCTGAGCAGAGTGAAGCGCCGGTGCACCGTGAATTGAGAGAGCGTGCCCTCGCCCATCTTCTGGCTAATCCTTGGTGTAGCATGACTTGCGGAACATTCCAAGCAGTACTCGTAAAAATTAGGGCACGAAGAGCTTTTCGCGAAATCGGTGTAATATCCATAACAAGTAGCGAGACAACGAGCTGGACGTTGGCTGAAATTGCAAAGGTGGATGCTACGTCAACAAACATGTTGCGGATTTTCGGAGTTCTCACAAAAATTCTCTAGCATTAAATGTAATTTGTTGCAAGACTTATGGACCAACCTAATATATATATATTTATTTATATTTAGTATATTTGCCATGAACAAATGCTACTAATCAAAATTAAGTCTGCCACCAAGTTTGTGACTCCATGGTGCGTGGAAGGCAAGGTATTCCGCTGATTCATATTAGTCTAAATGCTACGTAAGCAAAAAGAACAGCTATGCAATCGAAAAAGGCCTAATATCTTACTCGACTCTTGTGTGCAGAATTTGACAGCCATTATCAAATGGCATTAAATAGCTGACAAGATCCGTGGTGTGCAGAACCGATCTGAAAAGTAGCATAGAAATACAAGTGTAGTTGAAGTTTAGAAAGTTTAAGTTTAAGTTACTTGAAACCACTGTGCAGTAATTTTTAGACAGAGCTTTTTTGATGAGGATGACGTATTTCATTTTGGGGTGGTATGTATCCATTTCGAGCATATCAACCTATATAGGCATTGCGCGTGCATAAAGATGATGTGCAACATTTATGTCATAAGAAAACCTCAAGATGGGAAAGTTTCCGATCCTGTAGGCGGATATTTGAATGGTGTGCAGTTGAATGGCGTGCACTTTCATAATATTAGGTGTTTCAGAAAGTTCTGTCGTTTTCTGACATTCCACTTTTGGATGCTTTATTTCCCTTGAAATCTAGGAAAGCTGCAATTGATGTTGATGTCATTTTGAAGAACTTTCCAGCTCTATCCAATGCTCAGCACAACTTTGTCCTAAAATATTTTCTTATAGCTTTTTCAAAGCTTTGAATGCGGTATACTCGATGAGCAAGTTGGCATGACTTTCTTTTTCTAGCTTTAAATAGACCTGAAAGTGGCGGGAACAGTTCAAGATATTAACGATGCTTTGGGCCTAGATTTGCAATAAATGTGCTCAGAAGCAGTAGTTTAAAAATTTATTGTAGCCAAAAGCCAAAAGTTAGCCAAAAGTTCTGATTGAAGCACTCGTGCGTAAGACCATAGAGGAGGTTCTGCCCAACCTGGGCGTATATGGTTTGTACAGCCAAGCTATACGGAAGAAGCTGGAAAGTCCAAAAAATTTGATAGGGGCGTGCCGCGACAAATCACCAATTTGAAGGGTCGTCCATCAAATTGTCGCTTGTTTTATGTGATAAAAGCGACTCGTTTCTCTACAGATTTGCGACGTACAATAAAGAGCGGATTCTTCTCTATAGTCTACGAAAGTTTGCTGAATAGCTCTACAAACTTTGCAGAATTTAAACTGTGCTGGAGGAGGGTTGTGGCAGCTTTCATGGGTCAGCGGCTGGCCATGTTCTTCAGTATCAGGTGGAACTGTTACAGTGGAGAATCAATCTTTATATTAAGTCAAAAATCATCAAAAACTCTAAGGCATGGGTCCAGCATTCCTCATTATAAAGGAACGCACATCCCTGAAAGGTGTCTTGAACGCACATCGCACGGCCAACCCTTCACAAGTTGTACCAGCTGAACTTCAGAGT